GCTCCCTGTGAGCTTTGGAGAAACGGCTTCTCTTCTTGGAGTCTTTGTGTTTCTGCAGAGCCAGGATAGCAGCCCAGCCTGTGATGGGGGCTGTAAGGACCTCTAGAAGGGGTGGTCCCTCCTGGTGGGTCAGCTGTGGTACAGAGAGGGCATGGGACAGACACACCTCCTGCCCTCATAGGCTCAGACTAGAGTGAGCTGTCAGAAGTTCAAGAGTTGCTGCTGAGGGAGAGTGCAGAGGACACTGCAGGGCCTGACCCAGTCTGGGGTGGTCAGAGAAGGCTTCCCCATTGCACGTTTATCCTGAAACCTGAAGAACGAGGAGGAGTCACTATCAGGATAGAGTGGCGCGGGAAGAGCACTGCGGTTGAGGGAAGGGTACATCCAGGTCCTGAGTTAGGGGTATGGCACCAGGGCTGCTGGGGACAGACATACACAGGTGAAGAGCGGGTGGGCTGAAATCCAACTCAGTCTGCACTCACTAGATCAGGACCCTCAGGCAAGGCTGCCTCTGTCCCAAGGGCATTTCTTCCCAGATCTCACAAAGGTGGCCTGGTGGCTTGAGTGCTAGCCCCATGCAGGGTTGCTGAGGAAACACCAGTGGCTCAGTGGGTGGAGAAAGGCATGGAGACACCTGAGATGAGGCTGGTGAGGTGGGCAGGCCAGGCCAACCAGGCTCTTACACATGAATGACCTGAGCTTTGGGCTTTACCTAAGTGAGTAGGAATCCGGTGACAAGTTTTTTTTTGTTATTTTTTGTTTTTGTTTTTGTTTTTTTTTGGAGCTGGAGTTTTGCTCTTGTTGCCCAGGCTGGAGTGCAATGGCTTTAGGCTTGATCTTGGCTCACTGCAACCTCCGCCTCCTGGGTTCAAGTGGTTCTCCTGCCCCAGCCTCCTGAGCCGCTGGGATTACAGGCTCCTGACACCACTATCAGCTAATTTTCGTATTTTTAGTAGAGACGGGTTTCACCATGTTGGCCAGGCTGGTCTCCAACTCCTGACCTCGTGATCTGCCTGCCTCGGCTTCCCAAAGTGCTGGGATTACAGGCGTAAGCCACCGTGCCCTGCCTCCGTGACAAGTTTTTAAGCCAGTTTCGGGATGAGACACGGCCTTAGCAGAATGACCCTGGCTGCCTCATGGCATATGCACGGTGGCGGTGGGGACATCTCCAGTCTGCAGGCCTGGAGAGTGGTGAGGGGGTCGGCATGAGGTCAGGAGGGGGTCTGGACTGTAGCGGTGGCCAAGAGGATGAAGTGAAGAGCGCTGTCTAGGAGGTAGGCACCCTGGGAGTTGGTGGTCACAGGCAGCAGTGGACCCGACGGGAGGAAGGCAGGTATGGCATTGAGGTTTCTCATGGGGGATCACTCACCAAGGCCCAGAACACAGGAGGACGAGCAAATGTAGGGGCAACTGTTTAATTGGAGACATATGAAGTCTGGGGCGCCTGTGGGATGTCTAAGGAAATGAGCAGGTGTTCGGTTCCCTGTGACCCTCGTGAGAGCAGCTTCTGGGAGGTTTCAGGGAGAGCCCACATTGCAGGGGGTTTAAACTTGAGTAAGAGGCAAGGAGCTTTTCATTGGATGCTCTTCAGATGCTTTCTCCACCTGCCCCAGCTCTGCCTGAAGGGCCACCAACCACATCTGTGCCCACTGCCCAAGGCATGACCGGGGGAAATTTGAGGCAGACACTGCATCCTGCAGGGCCTGCTGTGGAGGCTGAACTGAGGGCTTTGGACTCAGGATAAGTCTTTTGCAAATATTTGGCCCCCCACCATGGAGTGGGGAGAAAGTGTGAGACCCCATGGGTGGGGCCAGAAGCCGTGACTGACAGGCCCCGCTGCACACAGCTCTGGGAAGGGCAGTTGCTGGCCTTCGGGCTTGTGAGAACCAGGACCCAGAATAGGGTCTGCTTAGATGAGAAGGGCCCCACTGAGGAGCCCCACTGATGAGTCCTGTCCCCAGGGAGCCTGCGCACATGATCCTGACCGTCGGAAACAAGGCAGATGGAGTCCTGGTGGGAACGGATGGAAGGTACTCTTCAATGGCGGCCAGTTTCAGGTGAGGTGCAGTGCATGGCTGCCCTGTGTTGCTCCCAGGGCCTAAGGAGAACCTGCTAGGGGGAGGTGGCTGGGGAGGACCGGGACTCATGTGGGCAAAAGCTAGTGAGGCAATGCGGGCTTTGTGAGAATTGCAGGGCTCTGTGGGGGAAACGCAGCCTCTGTGTGGGGCGAGGGCTCCGGAAGGGGACAGAGACTTGGGAGGGTAGGGTTCAGCGCAGGGGAGGGGACTCATAGGGCAGTGGGTACCATGGGGACAAGGGGTTCAATGGTGGAAGGGACAAATGAGTGAGGGACTCAGTGAAGGGAAAGCTCAGTAGATGATACAGCTCAGTGGGGGATGGGCTCACTGGGGGATGGACTCAGTGGGGGATGGACTCAGTGAGGAATAGGTTCAGTAGGGGATGGAGCTCAGTGGGGGATGGGTTCAGTGAGGGATGGACTCAGTGGGGGATGGACTAAGTGGGGGATGGACTCAGTAGGGGATGGGTTCAGTGGGAGATGGACTCAGTGGGGGATGGACTCAGTGGAGATGGGTTCAGTGGAGGATGGAGCTCAGGGGGATGAGTTTAGTGGGGGATGGAGCTTGGTGGAGGATGGAGCTTCAGATGGAGGATGGAGCTTGCTGGGAGATAGGTTTAGTGGGGGATGGGCTCGGTGGGGGATGGGCTCGGTGGGGGATGGACTCAGTGGGGGATGGGCTCAGTGGGAGATGGGCTCAGTGTGAGATGGGCTCAGTGTGGGATGGAGTTCTGTGGGGGATGGACTCAGCAGGGAATGGGCTCAGTGGGGGATGGGTTCAATGGAGGATGGGTTCAGTGGGGAGATGGACTCAGTGGGGGATGGACTCAGTGGGGGATGGGTTCAGTGGGGGATGGGTTCAGTGGGGGATGGGTTCAGTGGGGGATGGG